CCTTCTCCAGGCGATATCCCGTCTCGTTCATCGGAGCCTTCTCCAGGCTATTTCCCGTCTCGTTCATCGGAGCCCTCTCCAGGCGATATCCCGTCTCGTTCATCGGAGCCTTCTCCAGGCGATATCCCGTCTCGTTCATCGGAGCCTTCTCCAGGCGATTTCCCGTCTCGTTCATCGGAGCCTTCTCCAGGCGATTTCCCGTCTCGTTCATCGGAGCCTTCTCCAGGCGATATCCCGTCTCGTTCATCGGAGTCTTCTCCAGATGATATCCCGTCTCGATCATCGGAGCCTTCTCCAGGCGATATCCCGTCTCGTTCGTCGGAGCCTTCTCCAGGCGATATCCCGTCTCGTTCATCGGGGCCCTCTCCAGGCGATATCCCGTATCGTTCATCGGAGCCTTCTCCAGGCGACTTGTGGGTGCATCGAATCATTCAAGAACTCAGGAAAGCTACTGTTTTTGTATGTGAAACGCCCCCGGCATTTTCAGAATGACCAAATAAATTTGGGATAATTTTCGTGTCGTACATATTCTGCTGCCATGACAATATATGTCATAACCCAAAGTTAGCATGATACATTTAACCACAATGGCATGCAACTAAATGCGGATGATCCTAATACCAACAAGGTTTTCACGTACGGTGGGCTCAGCATGTCCATTCACAACAATATTCGACCACATTCAAAGTTGTGTTAAGCTTCGAATTGAGTTTTCAGCTAGACCGCACCTGCCTCTTGTTCAGGCCTACGGACGCTGATTTAGACAATCGGTGGATGCCTTTTGGAAATGTTACATGGGAATGTCAAAAATGTCATCATGTTTGTAGAAATCAACTGCTGTAGCTGTTTGTAAAAATCAACTGCAGCAAGACGAGGCGCTTCCATGTGTTGTCTGTGCCCGGGGTTTCCGTCAGACCGATTCTCCCGTCCGGCGCACGTCGGGCGCTCCCGCTAGACCGCACTACATGCCTTTCCGACAGACCGCATTAGCTGCTCTGGCCAGGCTAGCCGTCCAATCAGGTTACCTCGTCCTCTCATGGAACTACTGGATCTTGTCCTCAGACTGCGCCGAGTTTTCCTGCCAGACTGCCTCTCCATCCAGTGTGGTGCTCCCAGCATGCCTCTGTCCTGCCGTCAGGCTGCCGCACTCTGCCAGGTGTTGGCTCCGGGCATACTCGCCGGACCGATCTGAAAGCTCCGCGTCTCCACATCCGGGTTGCCGTCTGCGGACTCTCACTGCGCGCCGGTAGAGCCTCTCACTACTCAGTGGAGTGCGGTAGACTCTCGCCATACGCTGACCTACCAGCTCCGGTGTATAGCACAAAAATAGCCGCAAGCCCCCCTCCATATGCTTGCGTACAAGAACGCACACCAGGGCATGCGAGCACAATTATTGAAGTGGTTTGTCAGCTTGGCAGTTGTGAACCTCCATCTGGGCCACTTAAAGCCTAGATCACTGTTCAAAGGTAGAACATTTCAATGAGGGTGCCTGGGATCATTGCAAATCTCTAAATGTGTGGCCCTGGTCCACGGGCGTCGAATTGTATTCTTTTATGAGGGCCCTGGCCTCTCTCCCAATGTTGAGTTGCCCCCTCTCTAAAATGTTGGCTTGGCCCTCCTATGTTTTTGGCTGGAATACTAACGTGGGTAAAATATGATCGTAACACAAACGCTATCTTCTTTGATCCTTCTGCGTAGTGGCGTCTCGTACCACTCGCATAACAAAAAGTCATGATTGCTCTCACCACAAGATACAAATCATAACAGCTGGGCGGATAAGCGGTGCGATGAACTTCACATACCTAGCGCCATAAGACACGCAATGGTTTGTGAGGTTAAAGTGTAAAGCTCTGGAATATGGAGATGGCCTAAATTCTTCATGGCTAATCCCGTCCCCGTCCCCAACAACCAAAATTCGTGCCGCCTCCCATGACCGTCATAGAAGGGCGCCATCGGCGCCCTAAAGTGGCCTCTAAAGGGGTACCTTGACGTGCCGATCATAAGGGACGCGTGCGCCCAGTGCCTTCTCTCTGGATCGAACCCTGCATGACTTCAGTACTGCTTAGATTAAAGACTTTTATAAGTGATATTAAGACTAAAAACATGTTTTGCGTTTAATCCAAATAATGAGAGCTAAGCCGGGTGAGAAAAAATAGGAGGTAGGTTGTCGGACCTTCCGTTCGGCTCCCTCAATAATTTACAAGAATTGACGCACCTGCCCTGGTCTATTGTTTTCCAGCCTTTTGTACGGGTTGCTGGCTTGCAACATTTCACTGGGTGGTTATTAACCATTTTTAATTGAGCTCTGCCATTTCTTTTGCGCGTTGCCACCCATTTTGAACAATCACATCATTGAAATAAACCCGACGCACGTGGAACACGCTTCTCTACTCGGACGTTTACGAACATCAGTTTCATTAGCGCTTCACATCCCACGCGAGTGCTGAATGCGTCTATGCGATCCGATCAAAGCTGACCGTTGAAGGCCCATGGTGAGCGTGTCGTCCGGCGGCGGCGCGGCGGCGCGGAGGTGCACGGCGGCGCGCGCCATTATGGCGGGCTCTCACCTCACGTGTCTGTGCGCCCGCCTGGCCGGTCAGTGCGCCACGCCGCCGCCTCCATCGCGTCGCTGTGACCCTCGCACCTGGCCGGCATGCACTTTCACTAATGGCGCTCATGTCCTGCTGATCGGCGGTCTCTGCGAGGGCAGGCGTCGACGGTTCACACAAGCACGGAATCCCATCTGAGGATGCGGTCACTTTCATGCCGCGTGGATGTGGAGAGACGACTTGCGAGGATGATGTAGTGAATGAACTTGCATCACCATGCATGCTTTTCCTCGATGCGATCGGGATCAGGCGCAAACGTGCGAACTCTGATATGGAACACACACGTCATGGGGAAATAGCTCTGAGAAAGCCCGCCTGCTTATGGCCGATCCATAGCCTTTAGTCACATTTGGCTCCAGCGAAAAAAGAAACAAGAATCGAATTGCATTGAGAATGGATATCATCACCGACCCGTGGTCCACCTGGGGCAAACATTTCAGACGATGTCTGCCGGTGTTACTGCATCCTCATAGAGCTGGCCTGTGTGCAGCGTCGCTTGACGACTGCGACGAAACGGCTGCTGACAGAGGCGGCAACGATCACCCGGTTTGGATACTGATGGAACACGTTGGGTAGCCCCACAACGGCAGATTTGAAGTGCAACACATATGGACTTCTGTATTATGAAGAGCATCAGGTGCCAAAATCAAGCAGCTCCTGCGCTGTTAGAGTTAGGACGTACCGAAATTGACACCGTGATTGTCATGTGTCATACCACGGGCGCTGCAGTGCGCTTCGTAGGCGCCGAACACACCTGGAACATGGGCGCGAGTAGCCGACTAGTTCGCGGCGTCCAGACCAATAGGCCAAGAGCAGACGTCCAGCCGCAGGTGTGCCGAGGTCGGGGCCGGGCTCCCGCGGTGGCTGTTCCTGTTGCATTCGTCAGTCGTACGTTTGTAGCTAGCTGGTAGCTACCCGGTGCTAAGCGAAGTGTAGCTTAGTTGTGTCATATTTTTATGACTACTGGGGCTCTCCAGACGTAAGTCGGCTGGTTGACATACAGACCAAAGAGCTTCTCGTAGCTATACCGGCTGAAGACAAAAGAGCCGCATGAAACGTCCAGCGCCCCAAAGCGGCGTCTTTGCCAGTTACCTGCGCTAACCGCTAGCTCCCACGCGACCAGATTTCGGTGTTCACATCGATTCGAAGATCGATCCAAATCCAGGACAGAGAGCTCATCGTCGAAATCGCATCCACTTGACGCACAGCAGCCGCAGGCATATGGAAACATTGTTCAGACATGTTTTTAAAATAAACTCAGGAGGACAGGTTCACGACCGCCGCTGGTATGTGCGGATCATTTGCGCCGGCGTAGCAGCCCTTGACTGTGTGCGGGTGTACCGTAACCTGCGCTGAGCGCTGGAGGAGCGGCGCAACCAAAAGCCCGCCCTGAGGGGGCGGCATTGCCGCCTCGGGCCCTCGCCCAGATCGTTGGAATTCGCCGCGCGCGGTCGACACGCGCTGACGTCACCAGCGAGGGGCCCGGCCCGGCTCGGCGAGAGGCCCGGTCCAGCTCAGCGAGAGGCCCGGCCCGGGGCCGATCGGCGCGTCCCCGTCAGGACGGGGTCGGCTCGACCGCTCCCGAGATGGCACTGGGCGTCGGCCTACGCTGGCTGCACCCTGAACTGAGGGCGAGAGAGAGAGAGAGAGAGAGAGAGAGAGAGAGAGAGAGAGAGAGAGAGAGAGAGAGAGAGATAGAGAGAGAGAGAGAGAGAGAGAGAGAGAGAGAGAGATAGAGAGAGAGAGAGAGAGAGAGAGAGAGAGAGAGATAGAGAGAGAGAGAGAGAGAGAGAGAGAGGAGAGAGAGAGAGAGAGAGAGAGAGAGAGAAGAGAGAGAGAGAGAGAGAGAGAGAGAGAGAGAGAGAGAGGAGAGAGAGAGAGAGAGAGAGAGAGAGGGAGAGAGAGAGAGAGAGAGAGAGAGAGAGAAGAGAGAGAGAGGAGAGAGAGAGAGAGAGAGAGAGAGAGAGAGAGAGAGAGAGAGAGAGAGATAGAGAGAGAGAGAGAGAGAGATAGAGAGAGAGAGAGAGAGAGAGCGAGAGAGAGAGAGGAGAGAGAGAGAGAGAGAGAGAGAGAGAGAGAGAGAGAGAGAGGAGAGAGAGAGAGAGAAGAGAGAGAGAGAGAGAGAGAGAGAGAGAGAGAGAGCGAGAGAGGAGAGAGAGGAGAGAGAGAGAGAGAGAGAGAGAGAGAGAAGA